TGGAGAGATATTCTACATCTCAATATACGAACTTGATTGTTTGTATGAACCACTGCAAAAAGAACAATGACGGAGACAAGAAGGAATTGAAGAAAATTATTTCTTGGTATACTGAGGTTCGAAGAGTTTTGCTGTACTCCATTACTCTACTTACAAACTGAAGACTTCGACTTTGATTACAAAAGGGAGATTGTTAGGGTCGAAATGTTGTAATAGTCGAAGTTTGTATTTAGGGTCTTCGAACATTTGTGTAATGTATTTTACTAGGGCATAATATTCGAAGCTTCATGTTTAGTCCTTAGTATATTTTTTGTACGCTTTTCTCTTCTATAAATAGGAGTGGTTACTAGTGTCTTAGTAACGAAGTCTTTACAGAATATTCATTGTACTCTGTAAAATTTGCAAAAGCGTAATAGAACCAAACAGATCATATTTACATCGGTATTCAAATCTTTCAATTCTACTTTGAATTTACACTCTAATTCGTTCAATATTTGATTCATTGTCTCATCATTTTATCCGTTTGGGTTTTTAAAATCCTTGAATTAAAATCTAACATTCGGCACAATCGGAAAAATTATCCGACATCGACAATTGGACACACGAAACGAGAATCGTTTTTAAGGCTTAATTGAAACAAGCCTACGGCAACTTATTTCGGATTAGATTTCTGATTAAAAAAAATCATACCAGTACCTTGTTTTCTTGTTCTCGAAACAACTACATCAATCATGCAATCAGCTAAAGCCTTAACAATCGACTTTATATCAAAGTTACGAAAATTACGAAAATTACTAATAGCATCTTAACAATCAATCAAATGACATATATAAGGAAAGAATTCGGTAAACAAACGTTCAAGTTTCTGAGCATCGTTTTGCAGAAGTGACACACAATTAGTATAAAGCATACTCACAATCGACTAATAAAGAATTATTTTTCAATGATTGATCCTTCAGTTGTGACAGTTCCTTTTGCTACATCTAAAGTCAAGATTCCTCAACGTCTTCATCTACATGAGAAATTTAAGGTTATTAGCCATAACTTACATTGGCTTGTTCAAAAGTACAAGGGTATTATGGTCCAAAAACTAAGTATACTTGTCATTTACCGTATGAATGAGGCTACGAAGACGATCAACAAAGCTAACATGTACAATAGTTACAGATGGATCTGAACCTTGATCAATTAAAAGAATTGGAGTAGGAATATTATCAACATGTTGTTCAGATTTATGTAACAGAGATACAATGTTAATGTGAAGATGAAGAAATAGAACTTTGATTATATAGCAGATAGAGTATAAGAAACTGACCAAAGAGCTTACACCCAATGACTCGACACCATCACTAGAAGCTTGAAAAATGTTCCTGAATAACAGTTCAAGAATGGAAATAAAAGAACTTTATGAAATACCTTCTTTTCATGGTTCCAAAAAGTCAAGAATGGAAATAAAAGAACTTTCAGGTGAGGGATGGAAAGACAAAAAAATGTTAATTTGCAGAAACCCAACTAACCAAAACCATGTTGGTCGGTTTAACAGATCACACGTTGCCAAATTCTGCAATAAAAAAACTAATCAATAAGCTATTTATGCAAATTATTTAAAAGAGAAATAAACAATCCAATCTTAGCAATGTAGGGATGGAATATCATATATCTAATACCTTGTAGTACTTGAATATGTTTGGGAGCATAGTTTTGAATACTCGGCTGGCACGTACCGACTGTAGCAACTGTCATCAGGGTCAACTGGTGGAGGTACTAAAATGCGATATATCTGATAGCAACAAAATGATTTTAAAAAATAATTTGAGATATGTATTTTAGAAAAGGTAATAGATATAAGAGTAAATTACACTAAACATGAAATTGAAAAATCACATGAAAGTACATTGATATATCAAAAAACGCCAAATAAACATTAAACAAGTGAAAAGAATGATAAGTGCAAAATTCAAATTACAGGTGTTCGTTGTATTAGATGCATGATGCCCACAATTCGACGTTCTTTCGTCCCATATTCATTAAAATGTTGATGCAAGTCTATAAAAACAAAACACAAATATATTCTTATATTAGTTTTAACTCTACTAAAATAATTAAAGCTGTTTTTAATAGATAATATTATATTTACTTCTACTAAACCAATCTGATGTCTGCCCTAAAGCCTGATCAACATGAAATATGGAAAAGGTGATTATACCCTTAACACAATAACATATAAATAACACAAAACTCAAGAAGGAAAATTTGAATTTGAAAAGTACCCTTCGAAGGCCATGCCTTTTATCCTCCCCTGCTATATCATTTTATAAAGAAATCACTCATTTTTAATACTACCCATACAAAAATGAATCATTCATAATAAAAAAATTAAAATTTCATTCACAAACCTCAAGTTTGCGAATGGATGCCTCTGTTGTTGCATTTTGTAAATTCTCACAAGCAATAATCCTCACTTCCTCTTCCTGAAGCCTAAAAATCACCACAAAAACAATACCATGATTCCTGTAATTAGTGTGTGTGTGTGTGAGAGAGAGAGAGAGAGCGAAAGAGAGATACTTTGACAATTTCATACCTCCTTCGGTGGTATTCCACGTCACAGGTAAGTCATTATTACTCTCTTTTGGCCTGTTATTATTCACTTAATCTTGTGTATTTTTGATCTTTTTGTCATGGTGGCTCCTTTATCCACCTCAACATCCCTGACCTCTAATCTTCAAGAATGGTGACTTCTACCCTCAACAGGCAGAAGTATATATGACAGGGAGGAGGTTTCTGGGCTGCTGACAAAGGTACAGGTAGAAAAAAGTTATTAGTTTGGTTTATGTATTTTTTTTTTCAAAACCAGTTAAGTATTAGTGATAACATGTATAGCAGGGTGCAGATAAACACATAATTGTTTTATGTAAAAATATACAAAATATATTGTTATAATATCAAAAAAAGTTAGTTATATACCTTGCTAGAACATGCATGTGCAACAGAGAATTGAGTTTGGTGCTTGACTACAGGAAATGTCGAGTCATCAGGACCACCTTGTTGAGAAAATTACTTATAAATATGATGTATAAGGTCGAAATAACCAAAAAAAATATTGTATTTCATTTGTCCTTGACCTCCATCTTTCATTTGCTCAAAGTTTTTCTTTATTATATCCCACTTCCCCTGTTTTCCTAAGCGAGTAATGATGATAATGAAGATACTTGGATCAGGATACAGCCCTTGTGTTTGCATCTCGTTGAACAATACAAGGGCATTTGTGAGATCACCATGTTTGCAATGCCACCTGATCAAAGAATTCCATAAAAAAGTATATAAAAAAAAAGATTTTGAATACGGATCTTGAAGAAATAAGATTTTGAATACGGATCTTGAAGAAATTGCTTCTTGCAGGACCAATCGAGTGAGTATTGAATGCCGATTGTTGTGGATTTTTTCATCGATGGCGGTCCTGGTGAGAAACCCTCATCAGCGAAGCTACAATAAAATCAAACTCTAAGCTACTTCAAATCCAAAAATTAGGGGTGAGATACCTGGAATTCGCAACTCGACCTTAAATCCCCTTTCAAATTCGACAAAACCTACATAAGAATGAAATGAAATTAGACCCAGCCAGCCGATGCAAAACCGGAACGAAGCAGAGTGATGTAAGGGACGATAGGTAGGCGGTGGAGCGGTGGGGGTTATATCAAGTAGATCCTGGCCGGAACATTTTACCCAAGAAATCCATGATAGAAGGGATGGCGATGAGTTTATACAGAGATGGAGGGTTTTGGAGAAACGGTGTGAAGCATCGAAAGGAGGCTATTGGATGATAGAGACGTTGGAGGGGTCTACGCTCCGCCGACCACTTCCACCGATCGCCTTCGCCAACACCGGCACCTTGCTAAGTTTCTATTGTTGTCGATGTAGTGTGAGAGGAACGAAAGAGTGGTGGTGCACTGGTCCTTCGATGGCGGTCGGGGAGAAGCAGAAGTGAACAGAACAGCAACGAAAAGTAAAAAAGGAAGAAGGAGGAAATAAGGAAAAGTGAACGAAATTGTATTGGAGGAGGAGGGCGGCAAGGCGGCGACGAAAAGGGATAAGAAGGAAAGGAAAAAAGAGAGTATTGGGGCGCTTTCAATAGAAGGGAAACTAAAAGAAGCAGAATGAAACGATCAAAGAAGTATCGGTGGGAAATCATCTGAGAGATACAGATTTATGTGAAGGAAAGAGGCGGTGAGACATTAGGATGGGGAGGCGATGGTGACCAGATGAGAAAGCATGGAAGAGGAAAACGAACGAACTGAAGTAGACGGTGGTGATGGCGGTGCTCAATCAGATCTAAAGAGAAGCCCTCACAGAGGGTGGAAGGACTGAGATGAAGTGGTGGGAGAAAGACAGTGGAAGGATCGGGGAGTAAAAGAAAACGTAATGGAATAACAACGGTGATAAGAGAGGCGGTGGGAAGTATCCGGAAGCGGCAACCATGGTATAGAGGAGAGTAACTGGAGGTAAATTGGAAGCAAATTGAGATAAGAAGAAAGAGGCGAGGTCAAAGCCGGTGGAGGGAATTGTGGCGTTAAAATGACAATAAGAACTTCCGTGGCCAAACATGAAAGAGAAAAAAAGTTACTGTTCTTCAAGTTTTTAACAATTAATAGTATATATAATTAAATAAAAACTAAACATTTTGGGCTTGGATTGGTCAATGGGGAAAAGCACCAGCATCTCACGTGATCTCTCTCATGTCTGTATCTCTTAGAAAGTCAAAGCTTGCAAATTGAAAAAACCACCAAATTCATCTTCTTTCTGATCAAAAGGGTAGCATACGAAATTTGAGAAAGCAATTGTCTTATTCTTCTGGTACCCATTCACCACCTCCACCTCCATGTTTAGGGTTAACTGATTAATTTAAGCTTACACTCTTATCATCAACACCATCTCTCAAACTCACCACTCTCACTCATCTTGTGCCCTCCCTCTCGACTCATTAGCACCACCACCAAAATCCACCTTGTATCACCCCATACTTATCAAAATCACCACCAAACACCCCCCCCCCCCCAAACCTCCGAACACATCCTTCCTCCCCTATCTCCCTCTCGTTGAGTTGAAACCGAAGGCAACAAAAGAAAGAGGCAGCAAGAGGGCTGACACCCTCGTCACTCACTACCACCACCGTGACCATCCCCTTGTCGAAATCCCTTCACCTCCGGTCTCTCTCCTTCCCTCTCGTCGAACTCATCGGAATAGGAAGACGGAAGCAGCATAGCTGCCATCGACGCCCACAACCGCCGTTCTCAACCACCATCGGTTGCCTCCACGAACTCTGACCACCCACCACCTGGATCACCACCGATCACTCTTGCTGCCACTGTGAGTCTCAACTACCATCATTGTAAAAAAATTTATGTTCCTTCGTGCGTGATCAGACGGGACCGAGAGACCTGCTTTGTGAGTTTCGTTCTTGTTTCACGACCTGCGAACAAAAGTGAAGAAGACGTTAACCTCCAAACTTCAATTTAAAATATTTAAAACCACCCCCTGGTCCAAATGATTAACAAAGTTAGTCCTTTTTACCCAAACTTACCTTTAAAATAACTAGATTAGTCCCTCCCTTAACAATTCCTAACAGAATGAGCCCCCATCTTCAAACTTGAGATGATTTAAGCCACTTCAGCCCCTCCCACGAAAATAAATTACAAAATCAGTCCCCTTGTTGAATTAAGTTAGCAAATCCTTCCCTTTAATTAATTATTTTAGTAAAACCACCCCATGCTTGTTAAATAATACCAAAACTACCCTTTTGATTAATTATATAATAAAAATAGTCTCGGTGGTTTACTTTGGACGCAAGGAGCGTCACGTTGCGGTTTTTCACGTCACCCTTAGTTCTCGAATTTACGTGTTTAAGGTGAGTGTTTACGACCCATTTTTAATACTTTTATGCTTTGGAGGAGAATACATGTGCCATATATATTTAGTGTTCGTGACAAACACTTACCGATTTCAAAACTAGTTTATAAATATTATCTTGTTAAATAATACTTCATTTACAAATAAACTAGTGTAAAGTATGTTCTATGTATATATGTTATAGTTGTTTTTAAATAATACAACTAGTCGAGACAACATATATATATATATATATATATATATATATATATATATATATATATATATATATGAGTTATCAAACTCATATCTTGAAATCATTTATGTACTTGTGTACACTACCATGGGATTTCCACTTATTAGGGCGAGTATTATACCCATTTATGAATTTTCTTATCGAACATACTCGGCTTTTCATAATAAATCTTAGTTAAGGGCCTTATGAGTTAGACATTATTCACTACCTAAGTGCAAAAATACTTAGGATACCCACACCACTATAACTGTTAATCTTCGGAGCTGAGATACGTATGTATAGATCTATACGGGTTGACACCCTCACCTGTGGTTGCTAGCTACAACATCGACTTATGAATCAAAACGGGTGATAAATATCTTATTCATTTCTACTACGTCCAATGAAGTGTTGTAGGGGGTACTTAAATCACATAGTTGGGTTATACGACTCACTATAAGCATTAACTAAATCTTTTTACCTAGAAACCACAGATTCAGTTTCTCTGTTTATCAAGCATTTGAAGTATGGATTTACTTTGATTTCTCTATTTATCAAACATTTTAAGTATGGCTTTACTTATGTTTTCTCTCTTTATCAAATACGTAAGTATGAACTTACTTATAATTTATCTTTTTATCAAACATTTCCAACAAGGTTTTAACTACATAAGGAATACTTTTTAGACTTTTAAAGTATCATTACTGCGGTTAGCAGAAAACTTATAACTCTCACCAACCTTTGTGTTGACTCTCAAATTACATGTATTCTCGGGAGATCATTGAACCAGTTTTTAGGAGGAGAAACATTCATGGATTTCGGACAACCTAGTTTTAACTAAGTTTTTGTTATATCGGCCTATCTGTTAAGGCAAATTTATGAATTTATTATTATTATGAACCTTGTATTCAAACCTTAAAGTGGAATGTAGTTGCTATGTTGTTATTGTTGTAACTTGTGATGTATATTCAATTTGCTTGTGATCCATGAACCAAGTCGCACAGCCCGACGTATTCTGCCGCCTCGGCCGAGGGTGTGACACAAGATCTTTTTTTCCCTCTGAACTTATGATGTTAAGTGTTCAAATTTATTTTCCCTAGATTTTTAGTGTGGAATAAGTCCTTTGAACATGCAACACAAAACTAGTATTTACAAGAAAAGTGTTGTTGGGGCAACAGTTTTGTGAAATTTGTTAAAAAATCGAAATCTATGAATTTTTCAATGAGGTCGGATGGGTTTGAAAGCTAACTCGAAGTAATACATTCCAAAAGAAAGAACAATTTTTTTGGATAAGAAATGATTGAGTTATGGCTTTTTAAAAATGGAGGTTGAAATCTAACAGAATGTTAAAAGTAGAACTCATAAAATATGGCTCAACACTCATTTTATCAAATGATTTTGGTTTCTTTTTTATTGGATTGAGATAAAACAACCTAATATTGAAAATATTCTGTAAGAAAACTTGTTTCTAACCTTTATAACTTTCATGCAATAGAGCCAAAGTTAATGAATCCTTGGAAAATCGATTTTTGGTGTTGTATAAAGTTTGCATGTGCTCACCTTTGTTCTGGACTTTGGTTTGATCATGGATCACCACCATTTCCAGAACATGCAACATGTTTTTAGTGGTGATCTACAAACATCAATATTAGAAAAAGATTCCAAGCAAGAACATGCTCTAGAAATCCAATAATGGAAGAGAAAATGGCTAGAACTTGTGTAGAAATTCATAGGACTTTGTGTTTCATTACCTTAGCTTGATTTGAGGCTTCAAAACATCCAACATCTTCCCAAATTTCATGGCTCTCGTGGAAGAAATGGCAGAACTTTGAAAAATAAAAGGTGAGTTTTAGAGAGAAGGATGAGAGAATTCTATATTTGGAAAGAAAAGTGGAGTGTGGGAGATGTTCTAATGAGTGATGTGTGACTTTAGAGAGAGAGATGAAGAGAAGGAGAGGAGAGAGGAAGGATTTAAGTGGAAAAAGAGAGAAAATACTCCTTTAGAAAGTGAAATCTTTAAAAAAAATATGAATGGTTGGTTTTTATAAAGATTTGTGGTATATTTTATAAAGTTTTATGGCTAGTTTCTTGATTTTTAAACAAGTAGACTGTCATTATAAAATTTGTTCATAAATATTGTTTTCTAATTCATTATTTTGATAAATAAATTAGCTTATAATTTATATTCTAAAAACATAAGCTTTATATTTCATATAATGAAATAAGGATTCATAAAATGATAATTCATGATTAGATTATTGTTTGAATTATATTTTTGATTCTTGATTCGAATTGTGATATATGGAAATTAATTCTAACTTGTAAGTACTTCATATCGTGATTTAATAAGTTTGAGTTTGTAAAATACTTAAATTAGTTAAGTACTTCATAAGTTCCAATTGGGTAATTAGGGTATTTGGAACTAGTTAATCTTTTGGAAATCATAATTAAATGAATTTTGGTATTTCAAACTATTGTAGGGTTTCATAACTCTTTTTAAACTAAGAATAATGTTTGTATTTGTCTTTGTCGGTTTATTGGAATTTTATGTAGTGGTTCCGAGATTCAAGTGAAATTGAAGAACCAAGTATACTAGTCCTAGCTTTAATTGTGACTTAAGTTCCTACGAGACTCTGACCTAATTTCTACTACTAGGTCAAGTGCATGATATGTCTACATGAATATACAAAGATGATCGATTTAAGGAATGACTTGAATCTAACAGTTGTTATAGTTAAAGTACGTGTAGAATTTACATATCAATGTGAGATCTAAGTATACTATCCACCATTTCTAATTGTTTCCAAGTTTCTTGTAAGTCATAACTTAGTTTTTATTTTTTAAGTCTAGAATGTGGCGTGCCTACATGTGCAAATGAGTTTGGTCAAATCTGGAACCGACTCGAATTTTGATGGTTGTCACTGTCTCCCCCCAGTTGAAACAATTTCGTCCCGAAATTCAATTGGTGCCGTATTCGATTAGAACTTTGTCAGATACAAGTATATAGTTGGAGAGGCGGTGACTTGAAAAACCTTTTGATCATATTGGATTAATTCCTCAAGGGAAAGTCCAATCATTTAGCTATAATCAGGCTAGGGTTTCTCTAATTCGAGTCCTACGGTCTAGTTTATAGGAAAATAGGATCGTGGAAATCACGATCTAACTATGGTGACGTAGTTGAAGAAAATTATCTAGTTAGGGATTTTCTGAATTAAGAAAGCGTTATAAGCTCTGCTTAAGTACCAACTGTAATTAAGTGCCAAGTCGGCATTGATCCTTAAGTTGCTTTCTAATTCGATATTAAGTCTAAATTCGCCGCCTAATTAAAAAGATATTTAAGACAAATTGTTCATTTTCGGGTTGGCTACTAGGTCTGTCAAAGATATTTTTGGAAATGAGAAGAGGTAGCAAAAATGAAGGAGA